AAAGAAAGAAAGAAAAAAGAAAACTCCCTCTTCCTAAAAGTCCTTCAACTTTTTTCTGGACTGCAGGACAGCCTTGTGGGAAACTTGTCTGATTGCAGCCCATCTCTTCCAAAGGTTGTAATCATTCTTGGTGATGTTGGTCTACAGAGCAGTCAGAGACCAACTTCCTCCGTTAGCTGCACTCTCTCTGTTCCTTGTGGAGTTTAAGGGGGCAGGGACCATACTTCTATTTAGCCAGCCTCTCTTTTCTTGCATGTAGCCTGCTGGGGATTTCTCTAGTCTGTGCCTGTCTTTTCTAACCTTTGTAATTGCCCTTGATGGTCCTGGTGACCCCAATAGACACAGCTCACCTTCTCCAGACAGGAAGCAGTATTCTCTATATCAAATGTCATTTTGTGCTTTTGTGTAGCATTGCTATGAGCTGGAAATACTTGGCAGCACATAACAACAACAATACACCATGAGAGAATAAATTTCTGTTTGTTAAATTCATGTATTTTACATATTTCTATTATTGCTGTACTAAGATATCAAGGACAGGTAATGTCTCTTTCCAGAGAGGACTTCTGAAGCACATCATGATGAGGGAGTAAAGCTTTAATAATATAATGATGATGATGATGATGATGTTGTTGTTGTTATGTACTGTCAAGCTGTGACAACTCAGAGCTGACTCTCTAGCAAGCTTCCAGAGGCAGTAAATAGCAAGAGAGGAGACTGCTCATCTTTCTCCTGTGGAGCAGCTGGTAGATTCGAATCACACTCCTCTGGGTTGCCAGCATAACTCCTTATCACCAGGCCACTACAGCTCCCTAATATAACACTAGGATGACACATTTATAACTTTTATTTCTGAGGTGCATTTTCCAATCTACCAGGATTCTGATGGGTCAACATTTCCCTGCAGAGAGTGATGACAAGACTCAGGATAGACAAGCAGAAAAATGTCATTCCTCAGGAAGCAGTGACTGGGACAGGAATGGACAATGGAAGTAAAAGGAGTAATGCAACATCAATTTTTTGAGACTTATGGATATTTACAAAGAGGTGGCATATCCTCTCTAAGAGTATTTATACTAAGGAGTGACCACCAAAGGCTATCTCCTTACTACATAGAGTGATCTTAGCTGAAAATAAAATAGGGCTGAGAGATAGAGAAGAGTCAGCATCTTGTCTTCATTTAAGCACTGGGATCAATGCCACTCCTGAAATAAAATCCCTCATATATCTCAACTACTTAAATTGAAATACATAACTATATAAATTGCCTATTTAAGCTTAAGCTGTGTTAAGTTTTATCCCCTATCATCAGTAACTAAAAGAATTCTGCCCAAAATACAGAAAAAAAAATTTAATTTTGTGGAAAAGAGGCTTTTCCTGTGTTATTAACATGGACACTTATCTAGCTGCCTGGTTTGGGGAATGACACTGGACTTCTATTGTCACCATTCTCAGTTTGCTCTTACCTGAAAATAGTTCAAAAGCACGCCAGCCATAGACAGTCCCAGGCCTGCAAATATGAAGGGCAATGTCACCTGAAGACCAATGGACCAGGTGGTCTCCGAGAGAGGCTCAGTCTCTAATTGTTTGGGAGCCACCTTCAGGGTTTCAGGAGCACTCCAGAGTCCATCTCCTGAGGCTGCTGTGGGTCTTCCTGGGCTTAGAGACCGTGGCAGCCCCAGCGTCTCCGGCCTAGCAAAGCCCTCCAGCCTCCGCTGCCGTGTCTCTGCCCTCGCCATGCAGGCACAGCTGAGCTTCTGACTAACCTAGAAGACACAAAGAAGCAAGGGTTGTAGGAAAGTACTCTTGATTTCCACAGAGTCTACATCCTGTAATCTCCCTTAGGCTTTCTGTCCAGTCACACAGGCTGGCATCATTTAGGGCCATTCATAGGGCTTCACTCTTTGTGTTAAGATCGTTTGATACCTCAAGTTATGAGTGTTTATTTACATAGTTAATTTGAATGCCTGTGAAAAGTAAACAAAATAACCCCAACACACTCACAGATAAGAGCACATACATGAAAAAAACATGAGTCATGTTGTTGTTATGTGCCGTCGAGTTGCTTGCGACTCACAGTGACCCTATGTACAACAGCCCTAAACTCTGATCTGTCCTGTGCCAATCTCATTGCCTCCAACACACTCATCCTGATTACCCCAGTCACTGAATCAGTTAACCTCTTAGAGGGCCTTCCCCTCCTGCACCTGCCCTCCACCCTCTCAAGCATGATGTCCTTCTCCAAGGACTGGTCTCTCCTTACAACATGACCAAAGTATGTCAGACAAAGCCTCAGAATCCTTGACTCCAAAGAGCAACCCCATTTAACCCTCTCCAGGATGAATCTG